GATTTCAAATTCTTCAAAAGAAAGTTAAGATAATTGCCAAGCCATAGAACCCCCATGGGTAATATGTCCGATGAAATTGTACATATTATAAAACATAAATAAAACAACATCTCACTTATTTAAACAAATTTAGCTTATTAAACTTTTTGTGCTACAGACGGAAATGGGCTGGGCACCAAGAGCAAGTTTTTGTTTCTTTTCTTACTATGCATGTCTAATTATATCAGTCGTTTAGCCCTTTATGCAGTATTTCTCTTTTGACAGTTAATGTCATTAAACGAGCACATGCTCTGCATTTATACTCGACCAGGATGTGGCAAGCTAACTTAAAAGAAGGCAATTAAAAGTTAGGCTAAAATGAATTTGTTTTAGGTACACTTTAATTTCATTCATAAGAAATAATAAAACCTTATGCTGATGATACTAGGCATGGGCCGGTATAAGATTCTTATGGTATCATAACCTTTGATAAAAATATCATGTTCGTCACCCATTACCCTATTAGTTGCCCAAAAACTGACCTGATACATTTTTATACATAAACAAAAATGCATGGCTTTAACCCTTCGACATTTTATGATTGAAGTTAACTCACTGTTCGTGTAACAACTAAATTTGACAGATTTTTTGGTACTGAAGAACTGTTGTCTATGACTCTGATTTGATTTAGATACCTTTCATGTAAAGCTCTTTAATTTAATTTATTTTCATACTTATATAGTAATTTACTTACCCCTTTCTTTGCTTTATAGTTTTTTTTTTCTCTCTTATATTTATCTTCTCTTTGTGGTTGTATATTTTCATTAATGAATAAAAAAATAAAGAAAAAAAAACTTACCTGGTAACTCATTTATGGCAGCATTTGCCAAAATTGCCCAGCAATATTGCTCAAAAAGTTACCCGGTGTATTATCTAGGCATGGGATAATGGTTTTCGAGGTATACCGAGGTTTAAAATATTCAAGGTTTTAAAACCATCAAAATATTTCGTCACCTTAGAATTATAAGGTTCTATCTGACATTTTTGTCAAAATTAAGTTATTGACATATTCTTATAAAATGACAGCTTGTTTATATTATGGGATGGGAAGTTGTTTACATTTTAAGACTTTTTATTAAAAAAAAATAAATGTTACACACATACAGTTTGCTATGGAATGCAAAAACTTTGAAGCTCAATTTCTCAATATCATTCAGATCGCAGATAGAACCTTATAATTCCAAGCTGACGATTTTACAATACCGTTCCTAAGGCTTTTCCTATTCAAATATGCCATTTTAAATAATAAAAAAAATCTGTTTTTGACATAAATTAAGACAGCAGAAGAGAATAATTTAATCAAATTATTTAGCCTGACATGTTTACTGTTTCAAAATATTTTAAATGTGTCTTAAAATTAAATATATTGTGTTTAAAAGGGAAGAAAGTTTGAGTTTTTTACCCAGACATTTAAAACATAATTAGAGCAGTAATAACTATACAGCGACACTGTGAGACTACAATAGTATCGCCCATTAACAGAAAAAGTATCAAGCAACATTGCCCTGTGTATCATCACTATTAGAACTGCTTTTCAAGAAGTTTTCTTCTCAGAATTTACAATAAAAAAAATTCTTGCCTAACGTTATTGTCCATATTTAGTTTTATGAAGCACATCATGAAAAGGTAAAAGCAGAGATGAACTTACCTTGCGGATAAGATTCCTATTGCCATGACCTCGCGTTTACAAAATAAATAAATAAATAAAATAAACCCCGCATCAATAAAGTAAACGTTATTAAATTAAATGTAGTCTAACAGTTTGTCGTAACAAAAACAAGAGGTTTCTCAAGAGCATGTTTGAAGAGGACACAAAATGGGCTAAAATATTTGGAGGTGTTACCCGACCGGCTTGACATCAGGGAGGGAGAGAACATCTGGATTTACATATCAGCTTACGATCAGGCGGGGTGTTTCATTCGCTTCCAGACGATTATGTCAAACATTTCTATGCCTACTTTGAACTTAGGGTACATCCCCGTGTTTTTATTGCGAATGATAGATAAAACTGCTATTAATACTTTCCCCCCGAGTATTAACTTTGTTTGTAAGATGTGCATCAGTATGTGAATATGTGGTTGAAAACTTGCTGTCAAGACAATAGCTGCCAATAAATGCCAGCTGTCAAAGCAGATGTATAATTAACAAATCACATGGTAGCATCTCTCAGCGAGCAATTATGTGCAATTATGTGGATTGTTTTATCTGTTGCAATGAAAACCAGCATCAAAATGAGGAGTAAAGAATATTTGACTGAACTTCATTGTGGGATGATTGACTGCGGTCACAGTGATGATTGTTGGTCTAAGGACTGGTTTGAGAATTTCAGAAACTGATGACTCACTAATGTACACACACCCATACTCACACACTCAGGGGATACAAAGGATCGTTTGGGGAAAACCAAGAAACACTACATGGCCAAACTGGTTCTGTCTGTTAGAATCACAGCCATTTAAACATGAATTAGGTGAGCAACAACAACTAAGCATAGCAGTGTTGTGAATGTGACATTTGCAGTAAAAAAAAACTTGAAACAAATTCACAGAGAATGTTAACAGTACACAGAATCATCTGTTTATATTTTCCAAAACGTCTAAAAATTTAAAGTATATGAAAAAATATCAACATGTAAACGTGATTTGCATTTTAAATGGAGGTGACCAAAATGTACACGAGTTTACACCATACAACATAGCTTACTGTGAATTAAACGGAAGAAATAATACTATTTAAAGGGATAAGACCTGTCTCTATAAACTACAAAATGTATTTATTTTATTTATGAGGGGAAAAACTTTCAGGATGTGAAATTGTGTGATTTTGGTCAAATAAACTAGAGTTCAGAATTATCTTAAGTATCTTTCAAGTACTGTAAAATACAAGCCTACACAAACAACTTAGAAAGGCTTTTAACATTTTGGCTAAAACTTCTTTTTATTTCACTTGCATGTAGTTGCTCAGCTGCAGAACACACCACTCGGACAAAATGAAGTCACACAGACTTAAAACTGGACAAAAGATGATAGAAAAACAAAGCCTTGTCTGGTACTCTGCTGTGACATTCGGATGGCAGAATCAAGAATTTGACCTTATAATCCAACCTTAAATTAACTGTTCATGCTGCTGCTGGGTGGTGTAAATGTGCAGGGGGTGTTTTGTTGACACATTGTGGGTAGGTACAAATACTGACCACATCCATTGCTTTATAACCCCGTATCTTGTCATGTTATCTCCAGTATACCATTCCACATCACAAAGCACGTCAAACTGGTTCTCAAAGCTGAACAGGGAATTCAGTGTAGACCTCAACAGTCACCAAATCACAATCTAATCAACTCAACCTAATCTCTCTCGGTATGTGGTGCAACAGGAAAAAAAAGTCTTATTGTCAAGTTATCAAAACTTATTGATGCGCAAAATATAAGTGAAACCATAACCATCATCATCATCATCATCAAAAAAAAAAAAAAAAAATCTGTTGATGAAATCACAATTAATTTTATTAGGCGTCATAAATGATCATCTGTGACTTAACAGCGATTGTCACTTCGACGACTGAATGTGATGGTTCTCTAATGTCACATAATTCATGTAGGTGATTCTAGCATGCAGGTGACTGCCTCACAGAACAATGCTTTTATTTCATGCACCGTGACCACACTGTAAAAAATGCAGGACTCCACACACTTCAATCATGTTGCTGCAACTCAAATCAATTAAGTTAACCTAATCGATTTCTCAAATTTAATTAGATTGAACATAAAACAATTAAGCTGTCCCCCCTCCTCCACCAAAAAACAAACAAAAAAAAACTAACAAGATTGAGTTGTTTCAGCTCATTTTAAATTAGTAATTTGAACAAGGAGCTAAAATCTTTTTTTTGTGCAGATACTGTACATTGAAATTGTGCTGGATGCAATGTTGGGTGTTATTAAAATAACTAAAAAATTAAGTTACTAAATTCCAAAAAGTAGGTACGGTGGCTCAGTGGTTAGCATTGTCGCCTCACAGCAAGATGGTTGCTGTTTCGAGTTATTGTTGCCTTTCTATCAGTTCACACCAGTATGGTCATTCTCCTCAACTAGGCATTTGCACCCCCAGAACTGCCGCTTACTGGATATTTTCTCTATTTTTTGGACCATTCTCTGTAAACCCCAGAGGTGGTTGTGTGTGAAAACTCCAGTAGATCAGCAGTTTCTAAAATACTCAGACCAGCCCGTTTGCCACCAACAACCATGCCATGTTCAAAATCACTTAAATTACCTTTATTCCCCATTCTGATGCTCAGTTTGAACTGCAGTAGATCGTCTTGATCATGTCTACATGGCTAAATGCATTGAGTTGCTGCCATGCGATAAGAAATTTGAGTTAACAAGCAGTTGGACGGGTGTACCTAATAAAGTGGCTGGTGAGTGTATTTTAGAGAATAATTAACTTTTTCGACAACAGAAGGTTACATTTATCAGGATTGCACATGCTTATGAAAACATTAGTTGAGTGAGGTTCCTAAAATTATAAGGTGGACATTTAGAGAAGTGGCACAGGTATACACAAATATTTTGCATAATAATCTGTTTAGTTCAAAATTAAGAGCGTTAGACTTTGTCCAACAATTGATAATGGCTAAAAAAATGAAATAAGAAATGTCTATATATGGTGTGTATGAAATGTGGTGTCTTTCATTTGAAAAGTTCTGAAAAGTTTCTGTTGACTCAGATTAAAAACCTTAAATATCTAATGTCTTTGTTGAGATTTACAGTGGGTATGGAAAGTATTCAGACCCCCTTAAATTTTTAATCTTTGTTATAATGCAGCCAATTGCTTTGTCTGTCCTTGAATGGCCCAGCCAGAGCCCTGACTTAAACCCAATTGAGCATCTTTGGAGGGACCTAAAAATGGCTGCCCACCAACGTTTAACATCCAACCTGACAGACAGAGCTGGAGAGGATCTGCAAGGAGGAACGGCAGAGGATCCTCAAACCCAAGTGTGAAAAACATGTTGCATCTTTCCCAAAAACACTCATGACTGTATTAAATCAAAAGGCTGCTTCTACTAAATACTGAGCAAAGGGTCTGACAACTTTCAGACATTTCAGCTTTTCTTTTTAACAAATCTGCAAAAAATTTCAACAATTCTGTGTTTTTCTGTCAGTATGGAGTGCTGTGTCTACATTAATAAGGAAAAAAAATGAACAAATGATTTTAGCAAAAGGTTGCAATATCACCAAGTAAAAAATGTTAAACGGTCTGAATACTTTCTGTACCCACTATATGAATATATGTTTTAAGTAGTATTAAATCAAGTAATTTAATTACTTATTGAGTAATTAAGTTACTTTTCAGACAAAGCAATTTAAATAAAATTTTTACAAAGGTTTTAGTCGATCCTGTTGCCTACGCTCAACACAGCGCTTTGCTGTCTTATTTGTACCATCCAATTTAATAAATGCATTAAAGGCAAAAAAACACAATAATGTATTAATGTTTAACTTTAAAATGAAACATTCTCGATCATATCTTTAATTCAATAACACGTTTCTACACCAGACTTACTATTATACAGTGAACGCAAAATGGGAATAAATAATTTAATCATATTTAATATCAAAATTAGCTTTTAACAAACAAAAATGTGCCTTATCCTTTTAAAACAAAGGAAGATGCGTCACAGAAAATGTAATATTTTTGATGAAATAGATCCACTGTGGTAAAAATGGTCTATGATTACCCAAGATTAGTCAGTTCGGGGCACGTTTCTGATTTTGTTGTGTGCAAATTCTTCAGCCCAGTGCAGGATCTCTGCAACATCCTCAACTTTGACTGCATTCCCCACACCTTTAGCGGTGTCCTTTGCACCTTCTGCATTTCCACCCAAGCGTGAACACACAGAAAGAGCCCATTCGATCGCCGAGCCACCAGTAGAGCCCTAGAAAGAGAAAGAGTTTTCAATGTATTGCCATATCAGCTTCTCTGGCTATTTCCTCACAAACCAGATCAAGTTTACAACATTTTATAAATAGCTATGTAAATATTCTATATCCAAAAAAATATAAAAAAAAAAAAAAAAATATATATATATATATATATATATATATATATATATATATATATATATATATATATATATATATCATCAGCAATAAATAATACTACATAAGATAAAAATCTAAAATTCTAGAATTCGCATTTAAAAATATTTCCTTTAAAGTCTCTCCAGATAAAAAATATTGTCTGATAACATTACAATTAGGGCATTCCAAACATATTTGTTTAACAGCCTGGTTTCTGTTGCAGTATTGACATTTTGGGGGGAACTTCTCCATTTAGTAAATGTCCATAAGTGAGTTTTGTGTGTCCAGTATGGCATCTTGTGTAAACAACCTCATCATATCCTGAGTTTAAATAAATTGTTTGATGTTTTTCCTGCTACTGGATGGATTTCACAGTTTATTTTTTAAGCACTGATCCCATTTTGCTTGCTATTTGTTAGGAATATAGCCTTTTATTAGTGGCTTTAAGTCTTAGGCCTGGTTTATTCTCAACGTGTCCGCTTGTTCGCTTGAGTGCACACGGCGAATGTGATGTCATTGTGGAGATTGCGGATGTTCGCTTTGGGTGCGCGCGACATGATTTTGGCTGGTGGTGAGCAGGGCATTTTTTGAGACTCGAATGAACAGAGCGCGGCGCCGCATTTGATTTGAGTTTAATATGAAACACTTTAAAGAGATTTTGTCTGAAACAGTACGACTGTACAGACATCTTTAGATTCTGATCATAGAGATAACCAGATGATCAATAATTATTGGCTAGAAATAGCAACAGCCGTGGGAAAGGAGAAAGTTTTCGTTAAAAGATTTGGAAAAACTTGAAGGACAAGTTTTTAAAAAACAAGAGAACATGGCACAAGTGGAGACCAGGTAAACAATCTCAAGTATATGTTTTTCCATCAAAGATTTTTTACACTGATGTATACAATTGTGAATTTAAAACAATTTAATAGTTACAAAACTATAATTAAGGAACAGATTATTTGTTTGATAACTGAAAAGGAATATTTGAACCTATCGTTTACAATATACTGATTCCTGTTTCTGTAGGCTTTATTGGTGATAATGGTCAGTAATGTTGGACCATTATTGCCTTTTAGCATAATAGAGGACAGAAACTAGCCAGACAGTAATGTGTGAATTGTGGATCGGGCTAAATCTAAAAAAAAACTTCTGTATTTTTAAGCAAGTGTGCTCTTTTATTTTGCTATAAACTTTAATAGGTAAAACTGTCCGAGATATGAACAAAAGCAAGTGATGCATCAAAGATTGATTTAAAAAATCTTTAATGGTTATAGAAATCCTTATATTCATTAAAATAATTGATAAAAACAATAAAAATAATTAGCTTAGAAATACTAAATGAAATAAATGATATGTCGTAGTTCATGGAACTTTCTACTTCTCTGTTTATCTGCCTGATTTTAAGGTCAGCTTCTTTTGACTGCCCCCTGTCATTTTAAAGAATATCACAACGGCGAACGCGGCGAGTATAAAAGCCTCGTCCGTTTCGCGAGGTGTGCGTGCAGTCAGCAGAGGTGCGCGATGCGGCGCCAGGTGAAAGTATAAATTCAGCTTAGGGTTTTGGCACACTGAATCCGAAATTTTCGTCAATAATTTTCAGTAAGTTTTCAAAAGTTAAAAAATAAATTCGACCTCGCGTTGTCAATTGTATTGACACACTACTTCCAAAACTTTTGTCTGTCATAAAAAAATATTTGAACCGGGTTTGATTTTTTATTTTTTTTGCTTTTTATATGATAACTGTGCTTTGAGAGGTGTTTTGACAGTTCAGAGCCACCACACAAGCAAATAGCTAAATACAGAATGCAACTGAAAACCTCTATGCAGGATTCAATGACTGGCACACTTCTTTAGTGCGTGTGAGTGTGTGTCCATACATTTGACGTACTGCCCTTAGACATTACAATAGAAAGCATGGTCCGCTTTCGGTTTATTGCTTCGACACAAAAAAGTGTCCTTGAATTATTGAAGTATCACAAGCAATGTATCAAAATTTCACAGATTTCCTGAAATAAATAGGATAATCACAGCTCATCTCTTTGATAATGAGCTGAACTCTCCTTCCTCAATGCAGTATTGGATGAACACAATATGTAGCCTATTCCTCTTTCTTTTTCTACATTGGAAAAGAGAGCAGAACAAAGTATCACTGCTTGAGCTGACTCTGAAATGTTTTGAGTTTTTTCGTAATAGATTAATTTATATGCATCAGACTCAGGTATGTAAAGTTTGTTTTTGTAACAGGTTTTTTGCATATGAATATGGAAAATTTCTTCACGACTTCTTCTTCACGACTTCAGTGTGCAAAGACCTTTAAGGTGGGATTTTTCCTTCCTTAATTCTTCTTGTTAGAGCCATACAATAAGAGTATGAAATCAATCTCATACCAGAGCAGTTACATTAAAGGAACAGTTCACCTGAAAATGACTCCATAATTTGCTCACTTCCAAGCCCTCCTTTTTGTACACACTGCAAAAAATCCCTTTCTTACTTAGAGCTTTTTGTTTCTAGTCCAAATATTGAAAAAAAAAAAGCTAAATCAAGAAGCATCATTTAAGCAAGCAAAAATATTGTGTTTTCTGAGTTTTTCCTTAAAGCAAGCAAAATAATCTGCCAAAATTCTAAAAATAAAAACTTTTTTTAATATATTTTCATGTTTGTTTTACATATTATGCAGATTCTTCCATGCTCTATAATGGTGTTGGATAGTGGCCTTTTTTAAAGCTTCCAAAAGTGCATGAAATGTATAATTTCTAAATATATTTATATATTATTCGAAATAAAATTTTAATACAAGCAATCAAACATGTGTACTGTTTCTTTAAGGGTGCTTTCACACCTGTGAATCGATTCAGTTGTTCCAAAACAGAGATTACAAATGTTACATAGTTGCTCTTTGCTCTTGGAGCGGTTCGCTTTCACACTGCGAAGTTGCTAATCGGACCAAAAGAGCTAAAACAAGTCACGTGTGAGTAAACTCTCCTCACATTGGTCAGAGTGAGAGAGAGTTTTAATTTTATTGCCATTTCAGCTTCTATGGCTATGTCATGGCAAAAAGACATAAGTCAGTGTGTCAGGGTTTATTTTGCAGAGTCCTGCTCAGCTGTCAGGAGAGGTGGTGGTTTAGTGGTGTTTCACAAGATGCGATGTCTGATAATGCGTGTCTGAAGAGTGAGGAGAGGTGTGGTCGGGAGGGGTGAGAAGAGTGCGCGACGTAGCCTATTTGAGGATTGCTTTCTCATTGCAATCGATCCGCTCCAGAGTTTGTTTCAATCGAGCCTAGACCACCTCATTCAAGCTATCTCAGAGCGATTGATTTGGCGTGGATCCTAGCGCGATTGCTGGTTTCACATATGCCAAACGAACCGTGCTAACTGGGCAAACGAGACAGGTTTCGAAACAAAAGTGTAGGTGTGAAAGCACCCCACATTTAACCGCTCAAAGAAAACAATTTTTTTTAATGTATCAAACAAAACTCATTTACATGCACAGAGCAACGTTTAGCATTTATAGCAAATAAACCAAGTAAAAATTGTCCTGCCTGCTTTTTGAGTATTGTTCGGCTCTAAATCGCCTATGACTGATCACGCGTTAACAGAAAAGACGTCAGTACATAACAACCGGTTATGATTACTACTGAACAGATACCGAGTTGTTGTTGTTTTTTTGTTGTTGTTTGCATTGCAGTGCATCGAACAGACAATTAATTTTGACACCCCTAGTGTATTGAGCTAAACGTCTTAGTTAACGGTTTGGTAATAGTGCGAATTGTACAATAAACTAAAGTGTGATCCCAAAACAATTTTACAGCATGAAAGAGCCAGCATAAAATGAAAAACTCATCTGACTGTGACAGAATATACTCATACAGTAGACACAGAGGATGGGGCTTAAGTGTGAGTGTGTTGTGTGATGTGTTTGCTGTACTTTGGGTACTAGACAGGCACAGAGCAGCTTCCCTGATGACTCCCAGTGAGAGAACAACATGACCAAGGACTTTGGAGTGCTCTTGCTCAGCTGGACCACAGTCTTCATTAGCACCTAAACACAGGCACACAAATTAAGCTTGCACATTATACTGAAACTAGCTGCAATTATTGTGAAAAGTGCGCTATACAAATAAGCGTATTGAATCGATCAAAATATTACAAATGTGCATATATTGCGAGAGTCAAAACAATAAGCATTCCTGTTAAATGTTAAAAACAGTTGCCTAACAGAGAAGGGATTAAATAACATATTTCTAACAACCCATTTCTTTTTTTTCTTTGCCACTGTGACAGGATATGGATACATAATACTTACCAAGATACTCGTATTCAGATTAAAGTGTGATTTAAAGGCTTAACTACATTGATTAGGTTAACTGGCAAGTTATTGGTATGTTCTGTAGGCGGTTGATAAAACTATCCCAGTGGAGCAAAGTAGTGATCGTATTTATTTGACTGACTTTTGTTTATGGCTCAGAAAGAGCTGGAACAATTTCACTCAGCTCTACTACAAGCCTACAAATACAGAAATCACAGTATAAACTACAGGCAAACCCACCAAAAAAAAAGTCTGAGAAGATACTAAGTTTGCATTATTGTGACCATTACATACTGTACCTTCCTATAATAAAGTTACCTGACTTTATCGAGATGAATATATGACACATTTCCTGTCGTATTTTATTACTGTGTCCTATACTATAGGGAAATAAATATTGTGAGAAATGTTAAAGGTGCATGAACAAGTTTTGGTTAGGTCGTACTTACTGAAATAGAGTCAGTCTGGATCAAATCCACCACGACAGGTTTATTGGAGTGCTTGTCCAGAAGCTCCTTGGCTTTTAAGGCAGCCTGAAATAGGAGCCACAAAAAACGACCACCTAGTGAACCTCTTTTGGCATAATTAGATGGGCATTATAAACTCTAATCTACCTCTTTGATCTCCAACTTTCGAATGGAGTTATTGCTGCTCTTCAGCACCGCTTTCAGACGAGTCTGCAACTCTAGTCTCTTCCATTGTGGCATAGGTGTGATATCAACTGCCTAAAAGACATCATAAAAATGATACAGTTGAAGCCAATGTTATGAGCCCTCCAGTGAAATGAATTATTTCCCATGTAAAATTTATTTTAACACATTTTTAAACATAATATATAACTAATTATTTTATCTTTGCCATGATGACAGTACCTAATATTTCACATTTTCCAAGATACTAGTATTACAGAGTGAATTAAAGGAACAATTTACCCAATTTTTTTAAATTATGTCATGATTTACTCTCCCTTTATTTGTATTAATTTAATAGATAGTAATTAAGTTAATAGATATTTTGAAGAAAGCTGAAAACCTGTAATAACTGACTTTCATAGTAGAAAAAATAAATACCATGGACGTCAGCGTTTTCAAGCTTTCTTCGAAATATCTTCTTTGTTTTCTAAGGAACACAGAAAATAAAATAAAAAAGTTTAAAACTACATGAGGGTGTGTAAATACTGAGTAAAATTTTGGGGTGAGTCTTAATTTGGCCATAACGTTTTCTGTGTTTCAGCTAATGAAATGATTTTTGGTGATATATCTTATTGCGAAAATGGGAAAATGCTTTGATATTTTTTAAAAACTCAATGATATACTGGGCAAATATTTTTGTTTAGTTCGGGATGAAAACATCCATTAAATTAAACTGCTGTAAAAAACATCAGATTAATATTTTTTTCAAAAAACAATTTCCATAAATCTGTTCGACCTCAGTCCTGATCAAAACTACTAAATTGTTTAAAAAATTACAGGATTTTAACTCTTTAATTGCCAAATTCACAATTAATGTCACTGATTTGGTGAAAAAAAAACAGAGAATTACTTGTTTTCAATATAAAAAAGTGACTGTGGAAGGTATTTTTAACCTTTTAGCACAGTCTCGAACATGTGAAAGATAAGAAACAACATTGCCTTTGATGCATTGTGCTGCAAGTGTTTTTCTCTCTAATTTACTTTGTTGCTGTTTTTGCCCCATTGACTTCTATTATAACCACAATTTTTGATTGCAAAACCATGACACTAGCTTTGCTGGACAAAAACTAACAATGCATCAAAGGCAATGTTGTTTCTAATCTTTCACATGTCAACGACTGTGATAAAGGGAAAAAAAAAATCAGTCCACAATCACTTTAAATTGAAAATATAATTTTATATATATATATATATATATATATATATATATATATATATATATATATATATATATATATATATATATATATATATATATATAATATTATATATATAATATCATTTTGTGTTTTTTTCACCAAATCAGTGACATCGTTTATGACTTTGACAATTAGAGAGTTAAAATTCTGTAATTTTTAAAAACATTGTTTTAATCAGGACTGTGGTTGATTAACAGATATATGCAAATAAATAAAAAAAAAAAATAATCTGGTGCATTTTTACAGCAGTTTAATTTAGTGGATGTTTTCATCCCTAAAGTAACAAAAGGGTATTAAATTTTAACAGTGCACACAGGTTAACTTGGTTAATTAGGCAATAGTGGTTTGTTCTGTAGTCAATCAAAACAATCTTAAGGATGCCAATAATATTCAGAAAATAAAGAAATGAGTCTTTATACAGATGAAAAAAGATCAGAAATACTGTGAAAATTGCCTTGGTCTGTTAAACATCACTTTACTATTTGAAAAATAGTTACAATTTCACAGGAGGGCTAATAAATGTTGCCTTCAACTGCAAAAACAAATCCAAACTCCCACATTGTGATCAGAATCAAACATGAGAAATTATGGATAGTTACGTACATTGATTTGGTGGCCAACCTCTTTGGAAAGCCGCTTTGCTTCATGAATAGACAATGTGTTAGACAATCCCATCCGGGCCTCCAGAGACTCCAACTCCTCCTGCAAGGCTTGGCCTGCCTCTCTAGCCTGGAACACTGGACCAGTTAGCATCACAAAATTGAACTAGTACAAAATAACATATTTGGATCTTCAAACCTTTATGGCGTCATCTCCAGTAAAGGCAACAATACGGCAAACGCCTTTCATCATCTGTCGCTCAGATACAACAACAAAGTCCCTAATTGCTCCCGTCCTCAGTAAATGCCTGATGAAACAAGAACATAACAGTAAGCTTGGTTTTTAGCTTGAAAAATGTTTAATGTATTGATGGTTTGGCCTTAAGTAAGGGTAGCCAACCCTGTCCCTGGAGAGGTACATCAATGCAGACTTTCTTTCTTTGGCTCTCGGCAAATGTGGTCACACTTCCTCCCCGTCCGTCCCATATCTATCCTTGCTAGCTCCTCTTGTCTTCGTCTTATTCTATCTCTGAGGTTCTCCTTGCCCTGCTATCCAAACGATTGAGGAATTATGAATTTGATCAACTGGTCTCTGAATGCAATTGACACCATCTTCTCGACGAGAAGTTTGGGCTCAGGAGAGCCAACTTGTCCTGCAGGTACGTTTGGAAACGACTCTGCAACAAGATTTGGCCAGATCAGGAGACGAGTGATGGACATTAAATATCTGGGGAATTGGCGGATATCGACCTAAAGTTGAAGTATTTTCCTACTGTTTTCGGCTCCCTTCTTCCTCCTGCCAGATGGCCTCTGTTGGAGAAAAACAACTCTCCTGGACAGCAAGATAAGGAGACACTCTGAAATTCCTGCTATCGTCAAGAACACCTGTTGGACTCTGTAGGCTCACTCACACTCAAACTCACACTCACACTCACACACACACACACACACACACACACACACACACACACACACACACACACACACACACACACACACACACACCTACCTACAGATAAACATTCACCACCGATCCCCTCATCCAAACGCCTTCGTGTGCTTTCACCCACGAGAGGAGTGGGCGGGTCTGCGACCAGCGCCTCCATGGCTGCAGGACCAGATGGCTGCCAACCCTAATCGCACTGTATCCATATCCCCTGTTCCCATTCCCTTTGTCAATGTTGTCTTGTCTGTGTGCTTTTATGCTAGATTGGGCTGTTTTTTTTCTCCCTGTTCTGACCCTGCTCTAATTCAAGAGCAAGGTTAGAGGGTATGTTTTTTTTCAGCCTAACTCTCCAGATGTATCTTACTTCCCTTTCTAAATGCTACCTCCTGTGACCTGTCTTCCCCTGAAAATTGTGATGTTTGTGTACGGTCGGGGGGGTTCAATTTCACTATACGAAAGTGTATGTGACAAATAAATAAAATTTGATTTGTTTAGCATAAATTCTTTAAAATCACACAACTTTCAGTTAATCAAGTGTTGAATTGAAAGCTTATCGATCTGGCTTTTTTTGGCTTCCTTCCTAACTCTATTTTTATCTTTTAGATGCAGCCCAGGAAGCACCAAGCAGACATCAAAGAACTAGCTCAAGAAACCGTCTCTGTTGTCGCTTTGCATTCTCACTGTCTGGTCTCGTTTGGATAAAAAAGCTTCTCATAACACACCAAACGGATGGCAGCTGACTGAAACAAGCTGATGCTCCACACCCCTAAGGGGCAGTAGTCCATTTTCTTATTCCACAAAGGGAAACTAGAACGTGACATGCGCACATAAAAAACATTAAATAAAAGCTGCGTTTAATACTCGCTACTCACCATGGAGGAATTAGCTGGTGCAAATATATCTGATAATCTAATAATTGATACTGTTTGCAAATATGTGAGAAATTACAGGCGACTTCTTTGTGTTGCCCCTTTGCTTGGTTTCATCACTTGTTCTTGTGCTCTAATTTTTTGCCAATTAGATTGCTCTCTAACGCTGATGACCGACATCAAATTTACATGCTGGATTGGGCAAACTTGCCCTGACAAAAACTCGATGAGAGGCACCGTGTGGAACACCCCGAACAAATTAGCCCTTAGAGTTGCTCACTGATGGCCTGACACTTCCCAACGGCCAACTGTCAGCTGGGTTTGACCGAGATTTAGACCTTGAGAGTTTGCTTTGCTACCCCAGTACAAAGGAGCAAAACAGCCTTACGTGCCACAGCAGAGCTCAACTGAAGTTTGCTCAGCTCTTTCTGAAGCAAGCAGATCCGAAACAGGCACAGCCACAGACACCACTCGCACTGGGTCTGGATAGAGCTGGAACAAACACACAATGTTGTCAACACCTCACATTGGGTGTGGAGAACCACTTGTTACATTAATATTAGCTGATTCTTAAGCCTGATGATTAAGCTATTCCAAGGTACCTCATCTACAGTCCTCAGGCCAGCAATTTGTTTAGCACTCGACAGAGGAACCTCCTCTACGTGCACATCTGCATTTTGACGAATGATATTGAGCACCAGCTCCTCAACTTTCTGCAGCTCAGAGACTGTCAGGGAGCCCTTTGAAACAAGTACAAAAACATGCATTAGCCATTTTGGAAATCATAAAATCATTGAGACAGCCATTCAGATGTTGTACCTTGACACTGAAGTCGAAGCGTAGACGATTCGCACTGCAATGAGACCCTCGTTGGCTGACAACGGGACCTAGCAACTCTCGCAGAGCAAAGTTCAGCACATGGGTGGCGGTGTGATTTATCATGCAGCCCAGCCGCCAAGCCTACAGTTGAAAATGCAACATTTACCAAAAGGTATTTGGGTATAGGGATGCAACCATCATAGATTTTAGCTGTACGAATATAGTCTGAGGAATAATCACAGTTTCACGGTTATCCCGATCATTATCCATTCATTAATTTCAAAACACTGCTAGTTTAGTAAGTCACATGAAAACTCCTTATGTTTTAAAGTGTTATATATTGCTGCTCAGTAACCAAATAATTAAATCTTTGGATTTAAAAATAAGTGAAAGAAGATTTTGGTATTTAAACATAAGTAATAATTTAACACTGAAAAATTAACAACAGGACAATGAATAAATAAAAGAAATAAATAAAAATAAGAATATTTTAAAACTATTGTGTTTGTCTAATGTAAATCATATTAGCAAAGTATTGCCCTTTTAAAGAGAACAAATGTTGTCAAAGCAGCTGAACCTCAGTCTAAAAAGCACTTTTGATTAATTATATTACTATATTGTCTGGTAAAACTGATCGTAGGGCTGGGCGATTTGGCCTATAATCAAATCTTGATTAATTGAACATTTTAACTCGATTACGATTAATAAACGATTATTTTATTTATTTATTAAAACTAAGCCCTCAAAGCTCACTGATAAGTTTTGTACAGTAAATATGCTCACATATTAGAAGTGAGAGTAGTTTGAATGAAGGGTGCATTACTTGATAAGTAAACACACACTATCTACCATCTATAACTATTTATTGAACATTGAAGAACTGAAATTAAAACACACACTGCCTAAAACCAACAGCCACGTTTTTCTTATAAAAAGTGAAAATAAATAACTTATACTTCTGAAAACAAAATAAATTAATAAATGTTTAAAATAGAAAATAAGCAGGATCTCTTTTAAATAAAATAACTCTTGCATTTGCTGTAAATAACATTTTAAACAGTGCATTTCTTGTATCTTCTTTAAACAAATATTTTAATGTAAATAATAATTTGAATGTAATGGAAAATATGCCGTTATATATACGTCCAATCATCGTCAATGTAGTGCAAAGTAAGGCTCAAGTATGGGCCATCATCCTACTTGACCAGAGATCAGATGTTGCTGAAAACTAGAAGTATAAAATCAGCCTCAGCTGTTAACAGAGCGGGGTTACATGACTCCACATGCTGTAGAGAAAGAAGTATGGTTATGAGTTCGATTATAGGTTCTGAATGTCGAGAATTGCACAGCCCTAACTGATCGGTCCAGTTCTGGTCACGTAACTTATGGTGTGTTTGCAGCATGGAAAGTGTGCGTGAGCGCGTCATGCCCCTTGCACTCAGTGTCGCTCCCAATATGCGTATAGGCAATATCTGAACAGCCCTTAGTTAATAGCCTCAGCCATAGTTAATCCAGTGTGTGTGGGTATTAGCCTCGGTGTACAAGCTTGGAACTTTAAAGTAGTGCACAGTTGGCATATCTTTGTTTAGTTACTGCAGTTTTGTTCCATGCAGGAACACGGTGTTAAGAAGCCTTTACGATTGATAACTCGGTTAATAGTGAAATTGGGCATTCGTTGCATCCCTACTTGGGTAGTTAAAAATAGGCAGTAACAATGTTTTTTTTTTTTTAAACAAAATTTTAGTTTGAAGAGAAAATAGAAGGGGTAACTAACTTTAGCAGCTCTTTTACCGTTTTCTTTTTAAAACTTTTTACTAAACTGTACCAACATGCCAAAAAAACCTGAAAAAACAACTCTTAATATTAATAATATACAAACAGAGTGAAAGAGAATAATCTTCATTCTTGTACACTAATCTTCAGTTAGTGCTATTTATTTTATATGAAATTCTAAATATATTTTTTTTCCATGGAAAACAAAAAAATGTTTGAGCATTTACTGTATTTGAAATTATAGTAAAACTAATTATATTAATTTTTGTCATGTGTGACAGTGGAAATGCAACGCAACATGTTCCCACCTCATCCACGTGAAGATGCACTTGATCTCCAGTTCTCAAAGTCTCTGCTGCTGTGACTTTGTGTACCACATAACCCCCAGCGAGACGGACACACTTTACAGGGAACAACACATCCTGAAAACAAAACCACAAGCTGTGTCTTTATCTTGCCCCAGTATCAAACATAATAAAAATAAGACATGATAAGAGGTGAACAAGAACCTGCAGCCCATCCTTGGTGAAGTAACCCTGGTCATTGGCCTGTCCGCCCTGCTCTGCATAAAAGCTGGTCTGGTCCAGGATCACAGCGCAGTGCTGACCCTGACGCACCTCTGAAACCAGTGCCCCATCACAGTAAAGTGCCAGGACAGACGCTTTGCAGGGCTCAAACACTGAAAGAACAAAACAGTTCGGTTTTTTGTTTAATCTTATACTGCATCACCACCAGCTGTGATGCAAGTTTTGTGGTCAAGTGTTCAAAATTCATTTATTTTCCTTCGCATTAGTCCCTTGTTTATAAAGTGTGGCTCAATGGAATGAACTGCTAACTATTCCAACATGTTTTTTTTACGCAGCGGAGGCCCTTCTAGCTGCAACCCGGTACAGTCTTCAACAGTCTTCAAAATATTGACTGTATTTTTTAACATTCTGATGTGTTTAAAGCTTAACATGAATTTTAGCATTTCTGTAATTTTTTTGGTTTTCTAAATGCTTTTAATATGTTGCTAATTAGTTTGTAAGGTGTACAAAGTGTTTTTTTTTTATCATGTTAGCAGGGTTAAAGGGTTAACGAGTGTGCTGTAAAGTGCTGGTGGTTCCTGAGGTATGCTAAGAGCTTAACATGTTGCTACAAAATGTAGTTTTGGTGCTTTGTTTGTGTTGGCATTCGTGTGCCAAATATGTTGCCATGCATTTTTTGAGGTCTTCTGAGTGGTTATGGCATATTCCTTTGGGGGTTATTTCCAAATTCGAGCTGTTTGGTTAAGTGTTCAGAGTATTCAGAGTATTTAAGTGTATTTTACCACACTTCTATGGTTGCTAAAGTCTTATGAGTGTTTGTCAAACTATTTTTGTTTTTACAGTTGTTTTAAAAAATTGCCATGTAGTTACTGAGGAGTTTGTTACATGTATTACATGTATTTTTGGCGCTCTCTGTGTTTTTAATGTGTTCCTATGTGGTTACAAGGTTTTTAGCATGTGGCTATTTGATTACGGAGGTGTTGAGTGGTGTTACGTAAACAAGCTCATATGGGCTTGTCTGAAAACGCAAAATGACACACAAATGTCATGGGTGAGACGCCATGTAAATTTTTTTTAGCTCCACTGTCATAAATGAAACAGGATTCTAGGATATCAAAGGCAGCAACCTAGGGCTGTTTCTCAATATGCGGTCTTCAGCGATCTTGCGTCCTCGTGTAACGTCATCATCAGCTGCCAAAGTTCAGTTCCAATACTTAAGACTGCAAGAACAGAGGATGCGTGAAACTTCCCGGATGTGTTCTTGATATCAAGGACGCAACGATGCAGACTTGGCACCGATCTCGCTCTAGAAGTCCCAGAAGTCATTGTGACTGGAGGTGGGAAGCGCAGCATTTTATTAAGATTTATTATTAAAGTTCAGAGATATGACTTATTTACCTCAGGAGTTTCCCTAAATGAAACTGTGAATATAAACCTTACCATGGACATCTTAATACAGGAATAAACACATTAAGGATGTTTATTTGCTGAAATTGGTATTAAAATCTATTTTATTTGTATTGTGCAATGTATATTTATAATGATTTATGCATAGTATATATTTTGAAAAGGGGAAAAACAATACATCTCTGTATGAATGCTGTAATGTTTAAATAATATTCCATTAAAAACACGTGAAGGTCTTGTGACCATCAAGAAGAACGCAGCATCTCATTTCTCACAGGACATGTTCTTTGTCCTCACGATCTCCTGAGTTCGTTCTTCCGAGGACACCTGGCAAGATCAGTCTCCAGAAGAACGCAAGTGCGTTCTCTGTGTTCTTGGAATTGAGAAACAGCCCCGTTCTCTGTCCTTGTGATACTTTTTCCACATTTTTTTATTTTACAGCCTTATTCCAAAATGTATTCAATTCATTTATGAAATTGTTGCAAATTTATTAAAAATGAAAGAAAAAGCATCCATCATCCTTAAGTGTAAGATGTTTGGAACTAACAGGACTCTTCCTAGAGCTGGCCGGCCATCTAAGCAGAGTGATTGGGGAGAAGGGCCTTAGTCAGGAAGGTGATCAATAACCCGATGGTCACTCTGTCTAAGCTCCTGCATTTTTCTGTGGAGAGAGGAGGACAACCATCTGTGCAGCAATCCACCAATCAGCCCTGTATGGTAGAATGGCCAGACGGAAGCCACCAGCTCACTTGGATTTTGCGGAAAGGCATCTGAAGGACACTCAGACCATAAGAACAAAATTATCTGGTCAGATGAGAATAAAATTAAACTCTTTGGAGTGAATGTCAGGCGTTACGTTTGGAGAAAGCCAGGCACCACTTATCACCAGGCTAATACCATCTCTACAGTGAAGCATGGTGGTGGCAGCATCACGCTGTGGGGATGAAGCAGGAACTGGAGGACTAGTCAGGATAGAGGGGAACGATGAATGCATCAATGTACAGAGACATTCTGAACCTTGTTCAGAGTGCTCTTGACCTCAGACTGGGGAGACAGTTCATCTTCCAGCAGGACAATGATCCAAAGCACAGCACCAAAATATCAATGGGGTGGCTTCACAACAACTCTGTGAATGTCCTTGAGTGGTCCACAAAGAGCCCAGACCTAAATCCTATTGAACATCTCTGGAGAGATCTGAAAATGGCTGTACACTGTCGCTTCCCATTCAACCTGATACAGCTTTAGAGGTATTGGGCAAAAAATCCTAAGACAAGTGTACCAGGCGTGTGGCATCATATTTAAAAGCTGTAATTGCTGCCAAAGGTGCATCTACAAAGTATTGAGCAAAGGCTGTGAATACTTTTGTATATGTGATTTTTCAGGTTTTATATATTTTTTTAGTTTACAACAATTTCTAAAAATTTTATTTCACATTGCATTATGGGGTATTGTGTGTAGAATTTTGAGGAAATAAATGAGTTTAAAACATTTTGGAATAAGATTGTAACATAAAAAAAATGTGGAAAAAGTGAAGCGCTATGAATACTTTTCGGATGCACTGTAACTTGATGCCTTCCAGCCTTAGATTGCTGAGAGGGATTTGCGATATGATCAGGACTGTAGAGGTGTCTTGTGCATTGATGGCTACTGTGGTTCTAGACTAAATGTGAACATGCATTTATATATCTGACTTGCACAAAAACAATTCATATGAATAAGTTAAACAAAAATACAGATTATTACACAAACCCGCTCTAATTAAATGTGTTGAATAATATCCTTAACCCATTTAAATTACATTTGATCAATTTAAGCCATGTCTTTGCTGCTGACCTTTAGATGATCCAATTACACTATAGTAAAAAATAATGACGGGCAGCACAGCTGAAAGGTTAGTTTACTGTACAGACAGGAGTTTACACATTACTTTCAGCCATATTTATGTCACTTTTGGTGTGAATGGGCTCTTCCAATTACTAAAAACTAAACTTTTATTTTTGGAAAAAAAAAACAAAACAAAAAAACACGCAAGTCCAGTTGGAACAAGAAAAGTTAATGCAAAAGTTTCAAGTGGTGGTTGCTTAAATAGTTTTGAGGGAGTTCGTAGTAACTGAGTGGTTATGGAATGTTACTATATTTCTAAAGCATTTCAGGATGCATCTCAATCAGCTGGAATCAACAAATTTGAGCACTGTTAAGGATAGTAAGGAGCTTGATTCACTACACATTGGGACACTAATTGTGACATGGGAATGTTTTCATTATACAACATAAAAAATTTATTTCATAAACAACAGCAGAACTTTTTTCACAGTTTTTTAAAAATATAGATCAATAAATGTATTGTTTTATATAGCGGCAACATTTCGATTAATTATAAATGTTTGTTAGATTGTTCCATATTTGTCTAACCATTTTTATTTACTGTTTGGTTTAATAATAACAATGTTTATTTTTATAGGTCCCTATAATTTATACGTTTATTATTTATGAGTCACTTATTTTTGTAAGTCTCTCATTTGTCATTAGGTTTGTTTAGTTGGTAATTTATGTTTAGCAGTTCAACACTCCTATTAAGGGAACCCAGTGAGCAGCAATGCTCACTGATTTACAATGTGCACTGTAGGATTTTTTAGTTTTTAGAGTGAACTTTTCAGTGCACTGGAAGAATTTAGCGATAGAGACAGCATTTTAAATGGTAGGCTTTCTGGTCCGTGTGGTGATGTGCGGTTTGAGACACACCCTTAGTGTTTTTGGTATTCTGACTGCTCTATACACTGTTTGAAGAAGTACTATATAATTTAGGAGTTTATAATTAAGTACAGCAGAGTTTTTTGCTTATTATGTACAGTACAATTACTGCACTTTTAAAAGTACAGTTAATTCTTATTTAATATTTTTTATTTACCTGTAAGCAAAGTGCAGTGTTAATATTCAAACGTTATATAAGGGCCTACTCACACTATGCCATCCGTACCGTGCCCAGGCCCGTTTCACGGATTGTTTGAGAAGTGTGAGCGCGCTGAATCGGGATCAAGCTTGGTTCACTTGGCCGGCCCTGGCCCGGTTGGAAGAGGTTGTGCCTGAGCGCGGATCACTTGGGAAACGAAACTGAAAGCGAGACATGACTTTTAAGGGGCTGTTTCATATGGATTTATTAATCATTCTTACTGTTCAGTGATCGCAAACTGCCGTAGTTTATTAAAGACGAGAACTCCTCATAGCACGCCAGCTGCGCGCCTTCAGCAGACCTCCTCATTCCTGCAGCACGAGAGCTTTATGATTGTTTATGAGCGCAAAAAGTGGCGGATCTGTTCGGCGAAATATCTGACTGGGTGTCACCGCATCGCTAAGGACTGTTTGGCGAAATATTTGACTGCATGTCAATGCATGACAAACAACTGAAAGGATATAACTAGAGAAATCTCCACTTTGCTACTGGGTAAGAGCGTATGGCAAGCCGTTTCAGCATTTAAACCTTGTTCTGACTATCCATAAATATATTTAGAGATATCTCTAATTATATTTTGACTTGTCATAATTATAATTCGACTAGTCAGAATGACAATTAGAGATATCTGCAATTACAATTGTACTAGTACGAAATCAGATTAAAGATATCTGCAAATATATTATGACTAGTCATATTCCTCCATTGACTTTCATTGAAAAATATTTGCAGATATCTCTAACTGAGTTTTGACTCGTCAAAAATCCAATTCAAGATATCTACAACTGTAATTCGACTATTAGTAAATTAATTAGAGATATCTTCAAATATATTTGTAAATATCTCTAAATATGACGAATTAAAGACATCTCCAAATGTATTATGTCTAGTAAAAATTCAGTTAGAGATATCTCTAATTACAATTGTGACTAGTCAAAACTCATTTAGAGATATCTGCAAATATTTTTTAATGGAAGTCAATAGAGGAATATGACTAGTCATAATATATTTGATGATATCTCCAATCTGATTTCGTACTAGTACAATTGTAATTGCAGATATCTCTAATTGTCATTCTGACTAGTCGAATTACAATTATGACTAGTCAAAATATAATTAGAGATATCTCTAAATATATTTATGGAGTCAGAACAAAGATTTAAATGCTAAAAAGGCTTGCCATAGAGAGCGCTTCTGAACAGCGCAGAAGCGATGACGTAAGCGTGCCGGGCCCCATATGGTGTGAGCGCAGGCCGTCGGGGGAGACGGGAGGGGGGACAAGCGTGCTTTGGCCCAGTTCAAGGCAACTGTACCTAGTGTGAGTACCAATAAATACTGAAGTTTAAAAATGGCAATTTCCTGCGAACATTTGAGCGATAATGAGCACTTTCTTAAACAACGCTGATTTGCCACTGTGTTTATATGCTCAACAGAAATGACTGTGATTGGTTGTGAAGGAAATCAGTTCACTGAACTCACCACTGTTTACTGAGTGTAACCACAGATACAGACACTGGAGCATTTCAAAGTCAAGTTGATCAGCTGGTTAGTCTATAAGCAGACATATGAGCAATCCGCTGATAAATCGCAGCTTAAATGCTCCAATGTTGCTGTATCTGTGGTGACAGTCAGTAAACAGTGGTGAGTTCGGTGAACTGATGATCTTCGCGGCCAATCACAGTCATTACGTTTCAGAATCCACTGGTACAGAAGATATGTCACTCGCTCCAGCACCAAGACTGTTGATACAGTGGTTGCCTAGTAACAAAAAGGTGCTGTCCATCGCTCCTTTCTAATGTCAACAAAACTGCGGTCAGGTGTATCTTGTGTTTTCAGAACTGAATTTCATGTTGTGTGTGTTTTTTAAGCATGCTATTTACTTCATTATTTAAACTTTTAGAGCCATGTGTGGTCAGGAGCACACACTTTTAAAGATTTCTCTGATTCTCAAACAAGATCTTTTCACTGTTTAGTACCGTATTGTCCATCGGACCCCACACTGTAACAGTATTTTGGAGAGTCGTCTGTGTGAGGAACTCTTTGCCGTTGTAGCTCTGCCAGGCTATGAAGGTCCAGCTGGTCCAGCTTTTCACCTTCATCCTCCTCTGACTGAAGACCCAACTGAGAAAAAAACAACAACTCTAATAAGCCCATATACACACATAAACAATCAATAAACCAGTCTATAGCTATGCTCCCACCCACCTATTTTTAGGCGTATTTTGAAACCAAATAAAAATGCATCATGGAAATTTTAATGATGTTTTGGTCATTCGAAAATCCCTCAGCCATAATCTGTCATCAAAGTGGTTCTGTATTATTACCAACCAGAACTGTGTTGAGTGTGTGACAGTCATCATTAGTTTTTTTTTTATTATTATTATTATACGAGCGACGTGTGATTGGATTACAGCTGTCAGCTGATACAAGGATATTTAGAGAGCCTTGGATGGTGGTTCGCTCTCTTTCATTCATTCCTTGTCACACAGTCAGCATGCAGGTGATTCCAGGTCAAGGGGTCATGCTGCTGTGAGTTTGTAGAGAGTGCGCTGCGTGGTTGTTTGCTTCGAGGCTGGTTTTGTAACAAAATGTGTTTTTTCATGCTACTTAGTCTTACTCAGAGGAAGTAGCAGTGTTCCTTGAAGTTAGGTGCTGTATTGAAAGTGCGAGTGTACGAGTACGTTTTGATGCAGACATAGAAGCAGCAATATCTATGAATGGAAGTGCTTATTATTTTTGGCGGAGGTTTTGTTTATGATGCGTGGTGAACGTATCATGCGTTCGGGTTTGTTTGTGAAGTGAGGTGCATATTTATTTATTTTTGGCGCTCGAGTTGCCTATTTGTTTTGGGTTTTTCCTTTTTGTTTGAATGTTTGATAACTGCTGTGATCGGGATTTGTTTGTTGCAGTTTTCTGGGCCCAGTAGCATAGTAGTCCTAAACAGTGTCTCTTGCCTGCAAAAGCCACCACACATTCATTGCATTTTGTTTTCTGAGGCACAGTTGTTTAAAATAGATGAAGAAATGCTCACAGTGGCTTCTCCTACCACAGCAAAGGTAGTTTTTTTCGAAATTTGGCACCAGTTTATCAGATAGTCACAAGTTTTCATGGGATGATAACGGTGCTTTATTTGTGATATTCTGCATAAGTGTAATTTGCATTTTTGTATAGAAACATAGCTAATTATTCATCCAGCAATCATATTTTGTATTATGGAAAGGCTAATATTAGTAAAAATGCTAATACTAGTACCTTCTCATATTCATCTTCCAGCACCTTCATTTCCTTTTTATCAACAATCTTGCCTTTTTCCTCTAGCATAAGGTCAATGAGATCCAGAGGAAAGCCCAGGTTACGATATAAGGACCAGGCAACAGAGGCTGATTGATAGAAAAACAATAGACACAGAAGGTAGAACATTGCAGACACTGCTCAGGTAAAAGAGAAGGGAATGCATTATGAATTATACCAACTGTAACTGGTTTTTAATAGATTTTACCTGGAAAAAAAGAAGAGTTTTCGTCCATGTTGCTGAGAGTCCTGTCAATCACCCTCCTACCCTGTTTCAGCGAGGACAGGAAGTGGGCTTCATTCTGATTAATGAGATCCATGATCTGGAGAGGAAGAATAAAATTCAGCATGTGCACTAAATCAATCCGATAGGACTTTTATAAATCATACATCATTTTTGGAAAAGGGTGCATAAAAATATATGAAACAACACCAATATTAAGACTTACGCAGACTTAAGCAGTTCATTATTTTGATGTTAATACTCATTACAGCTAAAAAAAAAAAAGATTTTTCTAATAAATACAACTTGGTCTAAAATATATTGTTTAAAAAGTTAAAGTTAAAAAGTGTTATTTTGATAATTTCTAGATAGCGTTATTTAAATGCACTACTATTCAGTATTCTAGTTTTTTGGTTATTAAAATAAAACACAGTAAAACTTGTAAAACATTAGTATGATATAAATTATTTAACAATACAATAGCAAAATATATATTTTTATTTAACTCCTCTGATAGAAAATAAAAATAATCAAATTTTAAAACATTTTGTATTGAGACACTTTATTTATATTTCAAACCATAATTATTTTTGCGTGAAGTAAAAAAAGCAGCATTATTTAATGCACAGAAAGTTCGAAAGAACAATATCTGTAGCACAATAAATGTTACAAAAACAGTAAGTATTGTAAGACAGGAAGCTTGTTTTTTTTTTTTTTGTAGCATGCTTACTCTATCAGACTCTGTGTTCAGCTCAGGATAGGCATCACCCTGAGAAAAGTAAAAACAAGGAGAATATGAAAGCAAAGACACTGCAGTGATGACAGAAATAACCCAGTGCAATCATCTCGATCGTCTCACCAGTAGATTAGCTACAGTGGGCACCAGACTTGCCAGTGCACCCTCAGGAGCCTGCAGCACCTCTGTAGAAAACCTAACCGCACGTCTTAAGATGCGTCTTAACACCAGCCTAACACAAAGACAGCATATTGTAGAACATTTACACATTAGAAGAGTTATATTACTTGACAATATTACCTAAAATATAGATCTAACCTCCAAAAAAAGGTTACTTTAACAAATGTAAAACCCCCTCAAAATACTTGTATATTGCTTTACTGTACATACAGTTGAAGTCAGAATTATTAGCACCTCTTTGATTTTTCTTTTTATTTCCCAAATGATGTTTAACAGAGAAAGAAAATTTTCACAGTAGGTCTGATAATATCTTTTCTTCTGGAGAAAGTCTTATTTGGTTTATTTCGGCTAGAATAAGAGCAGTTTTAAAATTTTAAACAGCATTTTAAGGACAACATTATATTGGAATATCTCTATAATTTCCAGAACAACACACCACAGAGTTAAGGGACCAGAAAAATATCAATCTGTAAACACGTTTTGTAGTTTAAATGTGGAAAATAAACATGCGTTATGGATGTGACAAAAAAGTCTGCGGGTTTACAGCACACAACATACTTTGTAGACATTCTGTGAATTAAACTGCACAACCCAAAAAAAAAAACAATGATAATCAAAAGGATAAGAGTTGACTTTTTTGCCAGCAGCTAGCTCTCTGCAAATCTCACATGGTCGCCCACTGAAGCTAAGCAGGGCTGTGCCTGGATAGTTCCTAAATGGGAGACCACATGGGAAAGCTAGGTTGCTGCCGGAAGTGGTGTTAGTGAGGCCAGCAACCTGCGGTCTGTGTGGGTCCTAATGCCCCAGTATAGTGACGGGGACGCTATACTGCTCAGTGAGCGCCATCTTTCGGATGAGGCGTTAAACCGAGGTCCCAACTCTCTGTGGTCGTTAAAAATCCCAGTATGTCCTTCGAAAAGAGTAGGGGTTTAACCCCGGCATCCTGGCCAAATCTTCCCACTGTCCTCTGTCCATCATGGCCTCCTGACCATCCCCATATTCAATTGGCTTCATCACTGTCTCCTCTCCACCAATCAGCTGGTGTGTGGTGTGCGGTCTGGCGCAAAATGGCTGCTATCGCGTCATCCAGGTGGATGCTGCACACTGGTGGTGGATGAGGAGATTCCCCACCCATTGTGTTAGGCGATTTGAGTGCCCCGAAAAGCACTATATAAATGTAAGGAATTATTATTATTATTATTATTATTATTGACTCTCTACAAAACAAAAATGATTGGCTTTATCGTATGTAATATTTTACATTTATGAGGAATAAGTGTCGTTATGGGTGTGACATCTCTCTGATGTGACAGATGTGAAATTGTGAATATTGGTAAAACAAATAGAATATTTTGAAAACATTGACAAATGCATTTTGAGTATTTCTAAAGTACTGTAAAATACTTACTTACACAAAAAACCCAGAAACCGTTTCCGTATTTTGTTGAAAACTTAAACTTTTTTATGGCAAGGTTGACATTTGCACGGAATTGCTCTTACACAATAGCTTACCTAATTTCTCCTTTTCTGCCTAGTTAACCTAATTAACTTAGTTAAGCCTTTAAATGTCACTTTAAGCTGTATAGAAGTGTCTTGAAAAATATCTAGTGAAATATTATTTACTGTCATCATGGCAAAGATAAAATAAATCAGTTATTAGAAATGAGTTATTAAAATTATTATGTTTAGAAATGTGTTGAAAAAATCTTTCTGTTAAACAGAAATTGGGGAAAAAGTTAACAGGGGGGCGAATAATTCAGGGGTGCTAATAACTCCAACTTCAACTTTATGTTTAGAGTAGACAAATTAAATTACAAAATGAATAAAAAGTGCAATAGGTAAGACTTTACAAAAGACGCAATGGTATATGTTAGTTAACGCATTCAAATCATCACACACACATACATATATATGACACACACAAACGTGTCATATTATCTAGTTCAAGTTGAGTTTGATTGTCATTCAGCTACATGTGTGAACAAAGTGTAACGAAATAAACATAACCAGAAATATAAACACAAGACTATGGTACATTAAACAATGCTTTCCTTATTGAATCCTTATATAATGGAATTTAAGTGAAGTGTCTGGTGCATATAGAAAGAAAAATGTTTCTACAGGTGGTTTGTCAAGCCCACTCAGAAATGCAAAATGTTTTTGTTTTTCTTCTAGAGATATGGAACGATAGTAGGAAAGTGTCTGTTGCAAATGTGCAAACTGGCTCAAGTGGTGGTTAAAGTGTCAGAGATAATAGGGTGTGTCTTCTACAGTTACATGATAGAGTTATTTTTTAAAAAATACGACTGCAATATTAACTCCATTAAATAACACGATTACAACGTTTGATTTTAAAGTGCTCTTAGGCAATGAATAAACAATTAGCATAACATAATATTAATAGTCTTTCGCAGCTGTCATTGACATTAATTTAACCGGTGTTAACAAATGGAGCCTTAAAGTACAGAGTTATGAAAAAATACCTATAAAGGGGCACAGAATTTTCAGTGTCGTAGACCAAATTAACATGTAAAAAAAAATGAAATATATACATGTCATCATTATTTGGTAGTGTGATGAACAAACACTGCCAGTTCAACAATCTGAATATTCTTAAAAGCACTTTAAAATTATGACTCCCTGGAGCTCAGACAAGTGTGTGTGTCTGTTTGTGGTCACATGATGTGCATTTTCAGCCGCATCGTGTGGAAGGATGGCTGTTCAGAAATGCTAGGTGAAACGCCAGTGTGGATGTGGATTGTTTTCGTTCTAAAATGCTATTTTAAAACTAAGACGTATTCAAGTAAATGGTGCCCAAGTGTGTATTTTGCGCGAGCTGGATTGCGATGGGGGTGGAGGATCGCGATGCTGGCTCAGCATCACGATGTCTATCAGCCATCGGCTTACAATATCAATATTGTGCATGCTCATTACCACAATATTACAATTATTGAACATGACATGAATGATATGCTATTTAAAAGATGCATCTACAGCTGTTTCCATCCAAAGATGTGAATAAAATGTATGTGCAAAACTGGAATATCGAATAAAAGATGTGCAAATGAAGTAGCATTTCCATCCAACGAGTCGCACATTCTGCTGGTGATGTGACAATAAAAAGTGATTTATCGTGTAATAATAGCCGTAAACTCTGCCTTTGTTTGAGTCGAACTCACTCAGCGCCTGCCATGCCTGGGTAAACTCCGTCAGCGATACACACACAGATTGTTCGGATGTGATCCGCCACGACCCGATAGGCCATGTCCAGCTGAGCCACATCAGCCGCTCCGGTTCTGCCCTGATATGCGGGAGCCTTAGAGCACTGCACACACAAACAATACAGATAATGTTGGTATTAAAGACAGAATATTATTGCTGTAAAAAGTTAAAGGGATGGTTCACTCAAAAAGTTTAATTCCTTCATTTACTAACACTCAAGTGGTTGTCAACGATTATGAATTTCTTTCTTCTGTTGACCACAAAACAAGATATTCTGAAGAATGTCAGAAAAAAGCAGCCATTGACATCCAATGTAGGGGAAAAAAACATGGATGTCAATGGCTGTTTATTATCTAACATTCTTTAAAATATCTCCTTTTGCGTTTAAGAAAGAAGCTCAAACAGGTTTCAAATGTGTCGAAAACGTGGTTTCAAAAGTGGAGGGTGTGTAAACGAAAACGGACATTTAATTTGTTTGGGTGGAAATGAAGAGTAAAAACCTGGTGGATGGCAGATAATAGAGGTGTGAAGAGATCTGTGTCGTAGTTGGAGCGTTTGCCTTGCAGCACCGTCACCAGCCTCTCTAAACCCATGCCAGTATCCACACTGCACTGGGGAAGAGCTCGCAGACTACCATTGCTCTCCCTGTAACACAGAGAGACAGACAAAGAGTTTGTGATATTGACCAAAAACACTGCTATTTTTGTTAAGGATTAGCAAATATTTAGCCAAGTGTGTTATTGTGCTGGTATTTTGACTTGTTTAGGCCTGCTGTTGATACGCAATGATAAAATTAAGGCCCAATCCCACTCTACCACTTAGCCCTTTCCCTTACCCAATTCTCTTAAGCTTGTAGGGGTAGGGCTAAGGGGAAGGTGTAGATAGCCCTTCGAATGAAGATTTTTCAGGACCACACTCGAAACCAAGCGGTAAGAAAATTTCCCAAATACATCAAACACAATGCCTAGATAGTTGCACCCGAAAGTAATTCGTATTTTTTTGTCATTATTACGAATTTTTACAACAAACAAGCATATGTTTTAATATATTCATAACGATGTACATGTTTTACTGGCATGCTTTAAAAAAAAAAAACGAAAAAACAACCTCCGCTAAATTTCGATATCTATAATCCATAATAATAACTCCTGTGCAGCAGTCCCACAACATTCTGACTCTCGAATACCCTGTCAGAAAAGTCTAGTGGCTAGAAATGGGCTTTTAACAGTGTCTGCTATAATGTTAATGTTGTTTTCTTGTCTTTACATTGATGAATATGGCCACTTGTGTAAATGCACAGTACAGTTACGATCTTATTGCCACATTGAATTGTTATGATAACATAATATATGCCTTCAGTGATTTCCTGAAGATAAATACTAAAAAAATAACGCAACTGGAATAACTACAGCAGTCATGATCGTCTGATCTCATATGAAGCACGATATCGCAATGACATCTGATGACGTGTGCCGGTGTTGTCGTGCTGTCCCAATTCTTAATGAAAAATTTTGAAGGCCTTCCCATCCACACTCGGTTTTAAGGGCCAAGTGGACCGGGAAGGGGTATGAGTATGAAAATAGAATTGGGATTGGGCCTAAATCTAACAGTATGTGGCGGCAAGTCCTGTCTTAAAAAGACACTACACTCAAAAAACAGTTATTCACTTATAAAGTATTTGTTGTTTCTACCATGGATGTCAATGGCTGCTTTTCCCCTAAACTCTTCAGAATAACTTTACAGTGTTCAGCAAAGGAAAGAAATTCATAAAATTTTAGAACCATTTTAGTGGGATTAAATTTTGGGGTGAACTATCTATGTAATGTATGATTTCATTGATTCATTGAAACAATTGGTTAAAAAAAAATACTGAATACTTTAGGAATGCAGCAATGGTATTGCCACAGTTTGTTCAAAAAGAGATTCAATTCAAGCTTCAGTGTCTAATACTTGCATATAGGGGGTGGGGGTTTAGTGTAATGGTAGAATTATGGTAAACATAACCTGATGACATTAACATATTTCGCAGTCATATTACCCTGCAGCCCAAGACCTGTTACTCACTAAAGCTAAGCAGGGCTGAGCCTGGTTAGTACCTGGATGGGAAACCACATGGGAAAACTAGGTTGCTGTTGGAAGTTGTGTTAGTCAGGCCAGCAGGAGGCGCTTAACCTGCGGTCTGTGTGAGTCTTAATGCCCCAGTAAAGTGAAGGAGACACCATACTGTCAATGGACGCCGTCTTTTGGATGGTCATTAAAAATCCCATGCCACTTCTCATAAAGAGTAGGGATGTAACCCTGAAGTCCTGGCTAAATTCTCCTCAAGGGCCCTTACTCATCATGGCCTCCCAATCATCTCCATCCACTGAATTGGCTCTATCACTGTCTCTCTACTCCATCAATAACTGGTGTGTGGCGAGTGCACTGGCGCCATTGTCCTACATGAACTATATACATACACATATTCCATTACCATCTTACATTACACATGCACAATTCATTCATTCATTTTCTTTTCGACTTAGTCCCTTTATTATTGCGGGGTCGCCACAACGGAATGAACCGCCAACTTATCCAGGACATGCTTTAAGCAGCGGATGCCCTTTCAGCTGCAACCCATCTCTGGGAAAAAAAAATCGACCTTCTTGATGTGAGGTGACGGCACTACCTACTGCGCCACGGTGGCATCCACAATTAAACTTAAATCTGTAAAGCTCTTACATTAACTTATAAAAACATTTTTTCTAATCAGTTATTTAAAGAAACAGTTCACCCCAAAATGAAAATTCTGTCATCATTTACTCGCTCGTCACTTGATTCAAACCTGTTTAATTGCCTTTCTTCTGTTGAACACAAATGAAAATCTACTGAAGAATGTCAGAAAAGGCAGCCATTGACTTCCATAATATATACATACTCTTCAGATTATCTTCTGAAGAAGATTTGTTTTATGAAGAACAAATTTCTAAATGCTTGGAACCACTGGAGTGTGAGTAAATGTTGAGGATTTATTCATTTTGGGGGTGAACTATCGCTTTAATAAAAGAATTTGGGGTTTAAGCATGTATAATTTATCCTGTTGAATAAAACTATATTTTATGAATATGACTGTATTTGACTCATCAATTGAAAAAAAAATTCATCATGAATGCAGTCATTTACATAAAGAAAGATTTAATTACCTGTTATATTGCATGAATACCAGGTTCCAGATTTCCACTACATCTGGACTGTCTGCATTGACCAGTGAGGCAGCGTTCCTGTTGCCAATGTGATCGTAGTGAATCTCTGTGCAGGGGCCACATGGGCCCGTCTCTCCCATTTCCCAGAAGTTATCCTTCATCCCAAATGGCAACACATGATCCGCTCTCAGTCTGCATGGAAATTTCACAATTCAGTGAACCTCCAACAGAAAACCAATGTATTTTGTCAGTTTAAACAAGTATTTTCACCCCATGCTAAGCCAGATGTCCCGTGTCTCCTCATCAGCAGGTAGACCATTAGCTGGATCTCCAGAAAAGTACGAGACATACAGGCGCTGCGCAGGAATGCCATACTCTTCCGTTAAAAGACGCCAGGCCATTGCACAAGCTTCCACCTGCATTATAATTTATAAAAAAATACATTCAAATTTGGAGCTCCTACAGAGAGGGTTATTTAAAACACAAAAGATAATTGAAGTAATGAAAAGTCTCTTCAGCAAAACAAAAAAATTTAAATTCAATTCATCACTTCTACAGCACTTTCACAGTGTACACTGTGTCAAAGCAGCTTAACATAGTTCTGTAGATTTAAACTGTGTCAGTCCAGTTTAGTTCAGAGTGGTTTAATTTTCACTGCTGAAAGTCCAAACACTGAAGAGCAAATCCATTGATCCACAGCTCCACAAGTCCCAAACCAAGCTAGCCGGTGGCGAGGAACAAACTTCACTAATAAAAAAAAACTCCAGAGAAACCAGGCTCAGTTGGGCATGAACATTTCTCCTCAGGCCAAACTTCTTGTGCAGAGCTGCAGTCTAGGAGGAAAATGTAACGTTTTTAAGGAAACGTCTAATACTTAAGAATGAACACACTATTTTTTTTGCGAGCAAATGTGGAGGTTATTTTGGAGAATGGTTTTGGTCAAACACAAAGGTTTTGGGAGAACCCCCCAAAAATTGCTTCAATGCTGATGATTTGCAAATGTTTCTGAATAGGAAAATGATACATTTTGAGAGTGAATGTCAAGTGCCAGAAAAATCCAACAAGTTTTGGAAAAGAACGTAATACTTTTTGGAGGGGAACACAAAAGACAAGTTTTTTTTGTGAAAATTTAGGACCCGATTATACCTCCGGCGCAATGTGGCGCAAGGTGCGTCGCAATTCTTGTTTGCTAGTTTCAGCTTGGCGCAAGAGTCGTTTTGACGTTTTGCGCCACACTGTTTAAATAGCAAATGGATTTGCGCTCATATGTGCTGCCGCGTTGCTATTTTAAGAAACTATAATAGATTTTTCAACAGACCAAAACATTCCAGGTCTAAAGTCGAGCGCAGAGTGCGTTAGTTATGTGCCTGGCTTACACACTGCTTAATACACACAAGCTGTAGAGCAATATGCAAATATCTTTACATACGAAAAAGAATTAAAATATTAAGGATATATATAGAATATGATAAGAATATATACAGGATATAAATATAAAGGATTAAAATATTGCAAAACAATCTTTTCCAGCCTACATAAATTTAAAAACCACTGCCTTCATGCCTTCTTCATCTCGGGAGGCTTTTTCAGTTCATTCATAACAATTTGCTTTTGTGTAATGTTATCATTATTAGCAGTATTATTTATTATATCCATATTTATATTTGTTATTAAAAACAAGCTTAGATTTGCCCACCTGTCAGGTTTTAGACCATATGGGGCACAGCATGTGTATAAGGATATAACTCAGGTTTTTGACCACACTTTGCTATTATTGTTCATTTATTCGTTTGATGGAAATTAAAACTGAATTTAGAAATAGTTTTGAAACAAATATTTGCGCTTAAACAAAATGTATTATTTATAGACTAATTGATGTCTGTGTGTACAAGGTTTCCCTATCCATGAGAGCGAAAGTGTAAGTAGATTATGAGATGCCTTATCTGTCATTCTTGCACTGCAGATGCTCTGGTTAACTGTTTTCTTGCAAGTAAAATGCTCCGTTTTTCCTCTTATACTTACTTTACATCATGTAAATAGCAAATGTGCTTATGGCGCGACACAACTGGCTCTTAAAGGGAATAGGAGATGAGGCTCTGATTGGTTTATTCTCAAAACACACAAATAACTCATTTAGAAAATAAGCTCAACCATTTTAGACCATGCGCCAAGGCGCAAAGCAGATTTTTCTGTCCTTATATTAGTAAAAGTGGATTTTGACACGCCCTGAAAGCGTTTGCGCCCTGCGCTTTGCGCATGGACCAGCAAAATAGAGCCAATAATGTTTTTAGAAGATAATGAAAAGTATAATAGAAAAGTTTTGGGTGGGATTAGTGATCAATCTAAGATGTTTTTCATGCAAAGTAAATAAATCTCCAGCACATATTATCAGATGGGGTATCAGATGGTGGAGCATTTACAAAACAGTTGTAGACCACTGACAAGCTGGTGGCTCATTCAGGAGACATAAAGTGCCCAGATATGATAATAAATGGGAAAAAGTCTAATTAAAAGAATGAAATTATTGACTAAACCTTGAAGTAGTCCCCGAATGACCAGTTCCCCAGCATCTCGAAGAAGGTATGATGGTAAACGTCCTTCCCCACATCCTGTAGGTCATTGTGTTTGCCTCCAGCACGGACACACTTCTGACTGTTTACCACCCGCCGGTACGAGACCATCTCACTGCGAGGGTCAGCACAGCCCAGCAGAATCGGCTTAAACTATTGGACAGCACAGATCGTGAACATCTACCATCAAAACCATCATTACAGCAGACTAGGGTCTCAAAAAGTAATTAAAACAGAATAAAATATAAATACAAAAGGGTTGTGGGAGGTTACTGTTAAAAAAAAGCACATCATCACAAACACACATTACATTATAGAGATTTTATGTTGGACTTCATGTACTAATCTTTTTATTATTGTTACTGTGTCATCAATGTGTGATGAAACCTACAGGTCTTCTTGTAAGTTTCCTATAAAGATAAGATTTTTATCTTTTTATTTTTTATGGCAAGGAATTGTGATGTTTCTGAAGTAAAAATCAAGACATTTATGTAATGTTTAAATATTTTACAGCTCTTTAACTCACATAAACCAATACTGTTTAGGATAATACAGAAAGACTTCTGTCTTATTATTTCTGAAAGTTAAAATAAATATATCCATAATTTTTACATATTTGGACTAGAGACAAGGCAACCCTGAGTATTTTGCATTGTGATCACTCAATTATAATATATTGTGATAACTCAATATGTATATCTTTTTCAAATATTTTTCAAGTGATGTTTAACAGAGCAAGGAAATTTTCACAGTATGTCTGATAACATTTTTTTCCTCTGGAGAAAGTTTATTTTGGCTAGAATAAAAGCAGTTTTTAATTTTTTAAACACAATTTTAAGGACAAAATGATTAGCCTCTTTTTTAAATTATATATTTTTTCAATAGTCTACAGAACAAACTATCAATTTACAATAACTTGCCTAATTACCCTAACCTGTCTAGTTAACCTAATTAACCTAGTTAAAGCTTTAAATGTCACTTTAAGCTGTATAGAAGTGTCTTGAAAAATATCTAGTCAAATATTATTTACTGCCATTATGGAAAAGATCAAATAAATGAGTTATTAGATATGAGTTATTAAAACTATAATGTTTAGAAATGTGCTGAAAAATCTATTTCTCTTAAACAGAAACAGGAAACAATAAACTGGGAGGCTAATTATTCTGACTTCAACTGTGTGTGTGTGTGTGTGTATATATATATATATATATATATATATATATATATATATATATATATATATATAGCAATGTCAGATTTTTCCAATATAGTGCAGCCCTACATTACATTATCAGCGAGGATAATCTGTCATAACAGTGTAATACCTCAGAGTTTATGCAAATACTATAATCAAATGCTTTTGTATTCATGCGTTTATTTATCATGTCCATGCTAGTTATATTATATTAAATCTTTGTTTATTTTTAATCTAAACAAGGATTTATTATAGTAAACTGTAGTAACCATGTTTTTGGCATACTTACTTAAATGTCTAATCACAACTTAACTACAAACACCAATAGTTAAACTATGGTTGGTGAAACAAAACAGCGGTTAATTTGATCGAGAAGTTGGTTTTATATTGAAACATTTGTTCAGTGACAACTTATGACAAGTGACACTCCATATATTGTTTAGCTATAGGGGCATTAACACTATTTGACTGACTGTGAACAATGTTGTACATTGATATTTGCTGCTAATATATTTCCCAATGATTTAGAATTTGAAAAGGCTACTTGTCTGAAATTATATTAAGGAGAAAGTCTGAGTGTGTGAACATAACACCAATTTTACCCCAATGTTGTTTTATTGAGGTACACAGTTAGTTTTATTTTCATACAGTTTGCCCTCCTCCTTCATAATATAATTTCACAAAAATATTAGCGAATTCTAAATAGTAAATCATATTAGCAGCCAATGGCCATCAAAGTGCAACATTGTTCACAGTCAAATAAGTGCTAATGTTGTTTTCAATGCATACTTACATGAGATTTCAGACTGAATATTCAAAGTACCATTGTAAACATTATAGTAATCATGTCACAAGTTGTCACTAAACGAATGTGCAAATATAAAACCAACTTTACCTCAACTGTTAATTTGTGGTAACGTTTTCTTTTAAAACATGTTTTTGTAGTTGTGTTTGTATTAAAACTATGCTTTTTGTGTGTAATTGTAGCATTTGCATATCTAAAAGGCTAAAAATTATTAATTATTTATCAAATTTACAATTTTTATCGAAGAAAAAAATTATAATTTGAAGGAGTTATCGTTTATTAGTCATGGAGTTTGGTTTTTACTTTCTGAAGTTAATAATAATATCTAATTATTATACCATCATTTAGTAGCACCATGGTACGAGTCAAAAACAGAGCTTTGGCATGGCTGTTAGTTGTCATTATTCTGCATGTTATTATACTAATGTGAGTTTGTGTACCTGGTTCATTCCTGCATTGACGAATAGCAGACTGGGGTCTCCTCTCGGGCGTACGGAGGAAGACGGAACCACCCGATGTCCATAACCTTCCCTGAAAAAGTCGATAAACTTCCGCCGTACTCTTTTAGATGTGAATTCCCTACGAGATACTGAGCATGACAGAGCAGAGCATCTTCTTATTCCCGAAGACAAACAGCTCAATTTTGTAGTTAGAAGTGCACAGTGAACATATTTCACGACTGTGATGCGCGCGGCCATCTTGCATCTTCTTCTCCCTGACAGAACGGTAAGTTTTTGAGACTTTACCGCCATCTACTGTACCGAACCAGCTTAACAAGCCTAGTCAAGGGGAGTAAGGTGAAGCTGCCAATATTTTACACCCATGTTGTCCATTATGCGTCCAGTAGAGAGCGACAGCACTATATTATTATGAGCCTCTAGAACTGTATCACAATCTTCATAGATATTTAAATTAGATGTCAAGTTCAATTTATTTATATAGCCATTTTCCAACTGCCACAAAGCTGCACAAAGTGCTTTACAGAGAAAAAATAAAGTAACAATATGGGAATGAAAACAGTAACAGCAATAGGCACATAATAAGAAAGAACATAGAAAGTGTAACAATAAAAAATAAAAATACATTTTTGCTTAATTAAAAGATGCCACCACAGTTGACCAACACTAAACACGATTAAGAACGGGACGGTTTTGATCCCCTCCCCACTCCCAACACCCCCTGAAGGGAAGGACTTATGCTTCAAAAGACCTAGAAAATAAAGTCTTTAATTTAGACTTAAAAATAGGCAGCGACGAAGCCCTTTTAGTTATAATGGCAGGGCATTCCAGAGGCGAGGACCTGCTATGGCAAAAGCACGTTCGCCTCTACTTTTGAGGTGGGCCTTTGGAACTTTTAATAAAAACTAACTTTACGTCACCTATCCTGTTGTCAATAGAGCCGCCATTTTACAGGGTAGCGCTCCTTTGACATGAATGCAAAACCAAAGTGCAGTGGGGGACTGTGGCCATCCAGAGCCAAAGATAGATTTGGTCTAATCCATGTCCTGAAACACACCTCCTCTCCTGCTTTCACTTCTCATTCTAACAGAGGGAGCGATACATTTGTGAATGAATCACTGTTATGAACGACTTAGCCGACAATAATACACATTTCTGGCAGTGCAGCATCTTGCTGTCATATTTTATTTACATTGTTTGCTGATTTTATTCAACAACACTTTAGTCTTGACTAGTGCGGTTGAATGACTTTTGTCCTGGCAGCACTGTACCAATATGGCAGCACTATTGACGCATGCTCAGGGTCCGTATGTGATATCTAGTGTATATATGCGCAATCATCACAAAAAGCCAAACACGACGAAAAGGCATGTTAAAACAAGAGCAATGTTAGTTTGGTGTACTACACCTCACTTTCTTCATTCATTTCATTTTCCTGCAGTTTAGTCACCACAGAGGAATGAACCTTCAACTATTCCAGCACATGTTTTACACAGTGGATGCCATTCCAGCCGCAACCCAGTACTGGGAAACACCCATACACTCTCATTCACACACACACTCATACACTGTGGCCAATTTAGTTGATCAATTCGCCTATAGTGCAAGTGTTTGGACTGTGGGAGAAACCGGAGCACTCGGAGGAAACACACACCAACACGGGGAGAACACAGGAACTCCACACAGAAATGCCAACTGACCCAGCCGTGACTCGAACCAGTGACCTTGCTGTGAGGTGACAGTGCTAACCACTGAGTCACCGTGTTGCTCCTATGTTCAGACCAACTGACCAAAAAAAAGCTGACAACATGAAAATGTAATTCAAGAACCCATATAGAAATCTGAGATATAGCAATATATGCTAATTACATTTATGATACACAATAAAACATATTTTCTATTTATTATACTTGGATTATGTTATATGCAAGCAATGTTGAACATTTTTAAATACCTATAGGTATTAAAATGTTAAATACCTATAGACCGCATGTCTGCCAATGACCGTAAAAAATAGGTGTAGGTGACGCGGGTAAAAGGTGCTAAACTACAAACATGGCGGACTCGCGCGACCAGTAAGAGTGTAAATCAGTAAAGATATTTGAATACTGGAAACTATTTAAACAACGTTTTTCACGTTGTATTTGATCAGGAACAGCAATGTAAACTTTATAAAAGATGTGTTTGGCCTTTAATTTCTGAATGAAAAATTGTCCTGCTGCCGATGATGGCGTGAGGAGTTGATTGACAGGTCTCGTAACTAGGCAACATAACAGTCCGTTAAAGAGGAATAACGGTAGTTTGTCCTAAAGCTTGCGTTATACACTCAAAAGCACGGTTTCTTTAAGTAAGTTCATACTCTAAGGATGACGTATAATAATGATAGGTCTTACCTTATCTGGGACGTGTCTTTTTCTCACTTCTTGACCGGAATAATCACGATGATCCTTGGTGACGGTAGCGAGCCGCGTACTCGCAAGAGTCTCAACGGCGGCCAATAACGGAATATTGGATAAATCTAGCGAACAAAGTAGTTATTTGATACTCCAAGAGGACATTTCTGCGATAATTGACACACTTCTCTTGTCTACAGCTGACAGTGAAATGTCTGCTTACTCAAAGATGTACATCTTTCTTCCACCTTTGGAACTTCCGGTCACCAATCTCCATCTCGACAACAGATAAGCACTTTTTAATTAAGCACAGGTAAAGAGCTTAGAATCAATATATGGTTAACGTTATATATGTTATATTAGATTCTATGCTCTTTGGCATATCGGAGAGTGATGATTTATGTCAAGAGGGAAGGTGTTACATCACTTGTTTCTAGAAACCCATATTAGAAATTGGTTATGTCACCACATACTTTTGAAGAGCCCTCCATTTTACCCATCCATCTGAAAATGAGAATGTTCCTCCATTTCTCAGTGAATATGGGCAGTGTGTTTAGGTGCATTTTAAGAAAATAGATTTATTAAACAGTTATATATTACAATAATACTTTAGTCACTGAACATAATTAGACAATGGAAAGATAATAAAATTAAATTCAAACAAACTATTGCAAAAAAATGCAAATATTCTCTTGATTTTTCCTCTTTTTTAAAATTAGTATTTAATATTTTTATCCAAAGAAGAGAGACACATAGCATGAGGCAAGTATATTTGAGCTCTGAAAACTGTTTTGCCTTTCAAAGTAAATTTTATATGATCAATTGTTGAATCTAAATAATTATCGGCAAGTTAGAGAATATTCCATATATGTTGTACTAAGTTACTTTAGTCAGGCCCGTAGCCAGCCTGGTGAAAGGGGTGGTTGTTTTTCCCAAAAAAGTGAAACTTTTTGCAGTTATTCGCCTCATTTTCTATTTATTTATTAGGCTTAAATACTGCCTTTTGAGACATTTTGGTCATCATACCACACTATTTGATGTGTAAAAATATTTCCAAAAGATTTAGAATAAGAAATATGAAAAAAACACATGTTTAATACATCCTATATCATTAGAAAAAAATGATCTGTAAAAGCTTTAAATTATTGGTCTAATGTCATTTATTAGGCAAATATACTGAGCAGCACATTCAACTTTCCTCAGTCAGAATTTGAGAGGGGTCTGGATGCAGACCTGGTGCAGTGCAATCTGAGCTGCATCCAATGCTATTTAATGCGCTCACCTAACCCCACCCGTCACTGTGACGTCACTCACTCCATTGAGTGCAGTGTGTCCAACATTGCATCGCTGATTGATGCAATCTCAGCTTGCATCATAAAGGCTGCATCCAGATACCATTGCAGAATTTGGCCGTTTGAATATTGAATAATTAAAACATCATTTATTAATTTTCTTTTCAGCTTAGTCCCTTTATTAACCTTTCAGCTGCAGCCCATCACTGGGAAACACCCATCACACTAATACACTACGGCCAATTTAGCTTACCAAATGTACCTGTACCGCATGTGTTTGGAATTGTGGGGGAAACCAGAGCACTTGGAGGAAACCCACTCGAACACAGGGAGAACATGCAAAATCCACACAGAAATGCCAACTGACCCAACCGAGGCTCAAACCGGCGACCGTCTTGAGGCAAGACATGTGGTACAGGTGAACTGGGTAAGCTAAAATTGTCCATAGTGTATGAGTGTGAATGAGAGTATATGGGTGCCTTCCAGTGATGGGTTTCTGCCGCGTAAAACATGTGCTTGATAAGTTGGGGGTTCATTCCACTGTGGCGACCCAGATCAACAAAGGGACTAAGCCGAAAATAAACTAAATGAATGAATAAAGTAGAGCAGGGGTGTCCAAACTCAGCCCTGGAGGGCCAGTGTCCAGAAGAGTTTAGCTCCAACCCTAATCAGACACACCTGAACAGCTAATTAAGCTCTTACTGGATATACTAGAAACTTCCTGGCAAGTTAGTTGAAGCAAGTTGGAGATAAACTCTCCAGGACACCGGCCCTTCAGGACCGAGCTTGGACACCCCGGATGTAGAACTTGATGATTTTTCTAGCCTCTTTTGTAAAAAAAAAATTGTACATTTGAAAATTCATGGATAACAACAACAGGCAAATTATTAATTAACTTTAATATGGGCCACTTTTGGTGCTTCACACTTTTTTCTATTGGTCATTTTTTTTTTCAAGAATAAGGTCCAAGACTTCTAAAAGTTACTTGTGGAATGTTTTCTCTATTTAACAACAGTACAGGTCAGTGGTGAAAGATGACTTCACTTATGTCAGATTCCGCTTGGTCTTTAAGTCTTCGATAGGTTAAACATTACATGTTGCATCAATATTGTTCTGTAAAGGCTAAATTGAGTCTGCAGTCTGTAAAACAGATCTTCTCTGTGTTGTTTTGTGTTGTGTTCACACTTATTGTCAGATTAACACACAGATAAAGTAGTTCAGGCATGTTTTGAGAGCATTACAGTCTCTTTTATTGTTACATCATCAGCAGCATGTGTGCTATGATGAGTGAAACGCTTAGGTGCTGGCTCCACACTGTACAAAATACAGATGCAAATAAAATGACAGACAAAATACAGACAGTGCAAAAAAATAAAAAATACAGGACAATGTAAAATTGACAGTGATATGTACAATGAATATGCCGTATCACTATGCTGAAGGATTTGACTTCTGTTAATGCGAGGAGCCGGTGTGATGAACAAAGAGCAAGAGTCAGAGATACAATTTATTGAAGACAATAGTCAGAACTGTCAGAACTTATGATTAATTTGATTCAGCTTAAAAG